AGAAGCTTTGGACCTTCCCAAAAGCTCGAAGGAAATGGAAGGGTCCAGGTTCTTTGCCAACACCTCCTACACGAAAAACTACAACACCCATGATTCCCAGCGGCAGTGGCGTTGGTTCTTAGGACAGCCTCTAATTCTGTATGTTTCGCATCTTTTGCAAAATCGGGGTGGGGTCAGGACTCACCTGTTGGTTTTAGAGAAATCCCCTGGAGGCTTCCGGATGAAATACTCATCGGTGGCTCGACCCCAGACGCTACATGGGGAGTCCCTGATCGCCAAGACTGGAGGTTCAGGCTTGAGCGTTCTCTCTACCTTGGGCCTTTTTAGACCCAAGTACCGGGGGAGTTTGTGGATGAAGATCTAGAAGGGGCAGAGGCTGAGGATCAACCCCAGTGCAGCCCATTCCAAGCTGTTTTCTGTACTTTGAAGATGAGGATGGAGGGGGGAGGGGCGGATAGGAGTAGGACCCTGACCACACAGACAGGCCATTCCGTGTTCTAGTCAAACAGCTCTGCAATCTCATCCTACCCCCATCACCATGGCTGAAAGAACTCCCTCCTCCCATCTCTTGTCTTTTGGAATTTATTCCTCTAAGGCCTAGTTCTACATCTTTTCTTACATCAGATGCTATATTTAGAGCTGGAAGGGCCTCAAAGGTTTTTAATCCAACCCCTCACTTTGCAGATGAGGAAATGGAGTTTGTATAATGGTTACATGGGTACTAAGTGGCAGAGGTGAAACCTGAACCCAGGTCGATGCTTTTCCCACTATACCCAGCTGTTCCTCCTTAAATTTCTTATGCCACGTGATTTAGCTCCTCCTCCAATCCACTTAAATATTTTCTAACATGGTATAGAATGTAATCTACTTAAAAACAGGAGTTGTTTTATTTTTGTTTCTGCTTTCTCAGCACCTAGCATAGTGCCTGGCACAGAGTTGCTTAATAAATGGATTCTTGATTATAAACTCCTTGGGACCAGAGATTGTGTCATTTTAAAACTTTTAGCCCCTCTGTTGCCTAACGAAGACATAAGAAATTATTATTTGTTGAAATTAATGGGATGCTGGACTCAGATCTTAAAATCTATTGCCTCCCACCCCTACCGTCTTGCACAGTTTCACAAAAATTGAGAAGGAGAGTGACTAAGTCCCAAGGATGCAAATTTATGTTTCTGAGGAACAGTCCCTTTTACCTGATGAACCCAAAAGGGCATTTGGTGGGTGTGAGGGGATCGGTGATGCAAGTTGAGGACAACGACACTGAGTATGACTGAGAAGGTGACCAGAATCATGGTGAACATGAGGTACTTGACAATGATGGGGACAGCCAGGGATGTCTCAGGAACCTTACTGGCCAACAGCAGTAGGAACACCGTCAGGGTCAGCAGGGCAAAGATTGAGAGTGTCATCTTCTCCCCTTGTTTGTGAGTGGGAGATGAAATGAACAAATTGGGTTAGGTCACCCCATCCCAAGGAAGTTATATGGTAATCCAGGGGGAGAAGGCAGTTTTCCATGTAAAAGAACTCAAAGTTTCAACTCTCCCTTCTTTTTCTTAAGCTGAGGATGCTAATGAAGGGGGTTGCTAAAGAAAGAATTTAGTTTTGAGAGAGTGGAGGAAGAAGGCAAGAGACATTGGTCTCACAGGGAACATGAAAACTGTGGAGTCCTGTTGTGAGGCCATGATGATGGTGGGGTGGTGGAGGGACATTGGGACATTCAAAGCAGGGAGAGCTGGTCCAGTGGGAGGGAAAACTCAGTAATTGGCTGTGGGCTGGATTTAGTTATTTGGATTATAAAAGGAGAATCCTTGAACAGGTTTGAAAAAGAACGGTTGAATTTAGGAAAGGGGAGAATCTGAAGTGTGGCAGCTGAAAAGACCACAAATACTCTCTTCTACCTCTTCTCTTTCGCCCAACTCCAAGATTTCCCTTACCAGCATCTGGGGGTAGGTAGAAGACAAAAATGGCAAGAAGAGTGATGAGTACACAGGGAATTATGACATTGACCAGGTAGAACAGTGGCTTCCGTCGGATGATGAGATAGAAGGTGACATTCTGGCGTTCTCCTTCCTTCCCTCCTTGTCCTTCTCCTGAGGGGTCATTCAGTCTTGAGGATTTATGGATTATTTCCCACTGGCCATTCTCTGGAGGAGGTGGTAGGCAAAGTTGTAGAGGTGATAGAAGTTTGGGTTTACTGTGTGACAATTATGTAACATGTGTGCTAGAGATCTCCCACTAACATGTGTGTACTAGCTGTTTAAGTAGGAAAAATTATATCTGCTCCTTCATGTGAGCTATGCACATGCATATGTTGTATATGTACCCAGTGTATGTACCACTGTATCCCTCACTAATTATCTGTGTCAAGAACAAACCGATGAAGTTTCCCTCATGGATGTAGATCTCATTCCTTTGTTGTCCATCCAGATCAAGCCCTGGGCTCAGGCTGACCTCAGAGCTGTCATAACTGTAAGAACTGAAGACCATAGTGCAATTCTGCCAGTCAAAGGGGAAGTAGGTGACCTGAAAGGTGAGGGAAAAAGCATCAGAGCGATATTCCCCAGCTATTGGTCAGGATAAGGAGTAGGAGTTACTAAGAGAGGTGGTTGGGTCACTGGGACTGGGAGCCACTGGGAAGGGTCACTTGGAAGGAGAGAAATAAAGCATTAAGGAAGGTCATTGGGAGGGTCATTGGGAGGGACAGGGAGCTTGGAAGAGGAGTTACTTTAGGACTGAAAATCACTGGAGGTGGTCCTTGGGAAGGACTTGAAGTTAGTTGGAGGAGACTAGTGTTGGCTTCGGAGGGTCACTGGAAGGGACTGGGGATTTATTGCTGAATCATTGCTTATCTCGGTGAAGAAGGGGCCGGTAGTCAGGGACCTGGATACTACAGCTGCTGCGGTAAATGGCAGGGGGCAGCCAGTGCACGGAGCCGTCAGAGGTCACCAACACATGAATATTTAGAGCTACATCGAAGTTTCCATCATTGCTGAGGGGTGGGACCGGATCAACCGAGTATATTTTTACAAGCTTCGCCCTGAAACCCTCCCACCTACCCTGCCCCCTGAGTCCCTGTCCCACCCCCCTCCCTCCCAGTGACCCTGTCGTACCCCCCACCCCCATCCCCACTCCCATCTTCTACTTGTTCATGAGCACTACATCCGGAAGCCACACAGAATCCGATGCAATCCTTAGTGAGTCTATCCCCTCGTGTTCCTCAGGGTTCCAGCTTAGTCTGTAATCTGTCCATACCTAGAGACGTGGAAGGTGATGGTTTAAGCGCGCGCTGGGCAACCAATTTATCCCAGACTGTAAGGTTCTTGGAGACAGGGACCTACACTTTGTGTCTCCTCTAACTTCAGGTATAGTGCTCTGCACACAGCAATTTTTAACAACTCGTATTTATATCCAGCTTTAAGGTTCATGAATCCCGTTCCTTACAACAATTCTTCGAATTAGGGAGTGCAATTATTGTTCCCATTTTAAAGAAACAGATCCAGAGGGATGAAGTAACGTATGTCACTACGTATGTAGTGATACAGATAGTGTCAGAGCCAGTATTTGGATGCAGGTTTCCTGACCCCAAGTCCAGTGCCTACTAGACGCTTACTAAATGTTTGTGGAATGAATGGCCTGGGGCGGGGGTGGTGGTGGAGGGAACTGTCGGATGCTTGGGTCCTTCTAGCACTGAAGTTCTTAATCTTTTTTTTTTCTCATGTACTACTTTGGTAGTATGGTAAAGCCTATAGACTCATTCGCAGATTAATGTTTGTTGCCTACGTTAGTAATAGGAGGAGATGCTCAATTTCAGTCAAAGATTAATGAAAATGATGTGACTTTTTTTTTTCTTATCGATCTCCTGAGATCTCTCCACTGACCTCCAGGTTTGTGGACCCCAGGTGAAGAGCCCCATCTCTAGGGTAAGGAGGCACTTAAAATAAGGGATAAGACCTCCTACCCCGCCGTCCCCACCCCAGCAACCTTCCCATACAGTCTCTTCCGTACCAGGTCCACATACACTTTGGTGATTAACTCCTCGTCCTTCTCGTTCTGTAAGAGAAGGAATAGGAGTTAAAGGAGCTAAAGGAGAGAACCAATAAAGGGGAACTTCCCACCTCCTAGAATCCCCTCTTTTACTTTCCACCGGTCCAGTCAATTTTTCCATTCCCCAGAGGCCTCGCTGGCCCCGCCCATTTCATAGCTGGCCCCGCCCCTTGCCACTGGTCTCACCAGTTCCAGGCTCCACCTCTTCTACATATACTTAGAAATAATCCTTAAGCCCCTCCTCCTGAGGGCCCCTCCCCCATGAGCTCGGGAGCTTTGTGCCTGATTCCTGATCCGTCACTCCTTAGGCCCCATATCTTTTGCCCTTACCCCCCGCTTTCAACCCTAGCCCGGTACCTCTAGCTCACCAGGCTGATAATCTGCGCTAGGGTTAGGCCGATGCTGACGGGCACGCGGTCCCCAGGGTCCCGGGCGGGCCTCACGGAGCTATCATAACCCGAGAAAAGCTTTTCTAGGAGCTGACCCTCGGCCAATGTGCTGCTTGCCCCTGAAAATGGGACCATGGAGGTCCCGTAGTCATATCACACACACTCATGCCAATTTCCCCTCTCAGTGACCCAAGGAACTCGCCCCAGTACCCAAAAGTCCCGTTATCTACCGTCCATGAAGAACAGGACCCCTAGGGTCCCCAGCAGCAACACTCCTGGGGTCATGCTTGCCACTGCCTCTCTGCTCTCCCTAGGCTGGCTCCACAGCCCAAGTGAGCTGGGATCGAGTGGCAGAGGAAATGACTAGGCGTTTAGGAATGTGCACCTGTTCCTCTGCCCTGCAGCTGCTGGGACCCTAGCTCTAAAATCCAAGTGTCCCCTCCTCTTTTCTGCCGTCTTCTGCTCACTGCTCTAAAACTTAAAATAATTTTACCTCCTGCTCAGCTACCCTCTCCCACTCAAAACTCCAGGCACTCAATCTTCCCAATTCCAGAACAGACACAGAGATTGTACAAATTGCCTTTAATCTAGGGAATGAGCAGAGGAAGGACCCTTGTTCCCCGGAGAGGGAGGATTTACAGGCAGCAGGTGTCTGTGATGGTAGGGAGTGGGGTGGGATTGGGGTTCTACCAATCATGTTACAATCTGAGGAAGCTGAAATAGGTTCTGAGATAATCCCTCATCCTGACCCCAGTTCTTCTAAATTCTTTCCCAGTAGTTTCCTGTTCTCTCTAATTCCTCCCAGTGGTCCCTGAATCTTTTTCTCCCATGACCTTAGTGTTCCCAGCGAGTCACAGTACAACCCCCCCCAATACTCCTCCTCAACTCACTACTGATTGGTTCTATCCCGTTTTAGTCCTATTTATTCCATCTGCCAAGTATCCCTTTCTTTCTTTCACCCTAGTTGATTTATGACTTACATTCTCTTTTCAGTAATTCAAGGATTTGTGATCTCATCAGTATCTCCACAAACATGGATTACAGACCTCCCTGCAATTTAGCAAAGACTTTGAAATTTGCCTTAGCCAAAAAGTTCATCACCTTGGATGCAACCTGGTGATGAGCCTCTGAGTTCAACTAGAGAAATCTTTGGACAATAGGCATAAAGGCTGTCTCTGGGGCATACTTGAAGCCTTTCTAGGTTAAGGCCTTCCAGAGATTTTGATCCCCTGGAAAAATTCTTAGTAAACCCAGGGTTATTCTATTTTGGTTAAAAATCTGGGGATAGTGAGATAGAGAACCAAAATTCTCTGAATTTCCCCATCATTACCTGACCAACATGAGAATGTTATTGCTGATTCAGAGGATTCTCTATTTGCTCTCCTATTGACAGTTTCTACCAGTGTCTCACTATCCTCTTTCCTTCCCAGATATTGAGGACTTCATGATATTTATGGAGGACCCCTAAGGAGTCCCTGGTGAGGTAGCTAAGTATTCATATTTCCATATAATTCAGGAATTATTCCCATAGTCCCCACCTCCCCACTCCAACCCCAGATATTTTCCTCCCTCCTCCACCCACAGTATCTGGGTCTCAGTGCCTTCACCCTGAAATTTCATTAAACATGATTTTTCTTTCCTTCCCCTTACCCCTAGACTCCCCAGCCTATTGCCCTGCAAGTACCCATGTTTAGGGAGAGATTGAATCCTAAACTTTAGAAAGTGCATTTAAAAAGAAGACGGATTCTTTTTTTCTATATGGAAGAATAAGATTTTTTTAGAAAACTTTCTACAGACAAAATAGGAGGTGGGTTTTGGTCCATATATAATGTAATTCTCTCTGGACCACAAGTAGCATTCATGGAAGAAGTGTGATCCATTGTTTAGAACATCTTCTAGAGCAAGCATGTGGTTATTCATACTCTAGCTCCATCCAGGGAGAGGGGATGATTTCAACTACAAGGTAGAACCACAAACCATTAGAACAGATTCTAGAACTGGGTCCCTCCAGGGCAGAGGTTAGGACAGTGGTAGTCTACAACTGGGCTCAGTGTGGACCAAGACAATGTCTGTGCTGTGCTCTAGATGTAGATTTCTTCCATATCTAGATCAAGAATCCATCTTGATCAACATTAGTCTTCAATGACCCAGAACAGAAGTTAGCAATGTGACTCTACTACAATACAGAAGATTTTGATGCCAAATTGACTCTGTGTAGGATCCAGATTTCAGAACACATCCAGGACAAAGTCAGAAGGCTGAGGGGATAAGCAAGAGAGAAGAGGCTGTGCTCTAGTTGACCGTGGCTTTGTGGTTATGTAGAAGAGTGGCAAAGAACCCTAGAAACGAGGCTGTCTATCCTTATTTAGAACCTACAGCTTCATCTCTCAGGAAATTTTCTGAGAGCTTGTGCAGAAAAGGAAAAAAATACAGTGATTAGCCAGGCCCCTTAATGGTATATAGCAATGTTTCCAGATCCCCTATAAGGGTCCTTTAATATAGAAAATTACCAAAGAGCAGATCTTACTAGGATTTTGGTTTTGCAGCAATAGCCCAAGAGTCACAGACCACCCTTAATCTTTCAGATAGTTGTTGTAATGGCTACCACTTTTGTAGTCCTCCTAAATTGCCCAAGGAAGGTCAAAAGAAATCTTCTAAGTCAGGAATTTATGGCTTGTGGCAGGGGAGTGGTAAGGAAGGAATGGAACAAGATGAGAGACCACAATGACTGGTTCAGTCTGGGATCTGTATGGCTGTCTTGATGAAAGACTTGAGGGACGCTCCCAGACAGCAGGGTTATGTTTTAGGAGGCAAAGAGGCTGAAGGAGGCTTGTCATTTGTAGGAGATGTCTCAGGTACGTTGTGCAGGGAAGGCTCCCGGTACATGGCCACTGTGAGAAGGATGGAACAGAGAAAGAGAAACAGTCAGGGATCAAGAAACACAGAAATAAGCAGCAGAGAAATATGAAGATAGGACCATAGCCTTTCTTGGCCAAAATGATGGACTAGATGATCTTTAAGGACGCTTATAGTTTTAAAACCTATAATTTTATGGTTCTATGAAGGAGTCGTCACTGTATTAATGCTTGGTTGGCTTCTTTCTGTGTTGCTATTGTTGACCTGATATACTACCTCCCCTCCTCCCTCCAGGTGGGCCCTGGACAGAGCATTTCTTGGAATTCTGATATAATCTAGTTCAACCCCTCCCCCCCTCACCTCACATACCCTATTTTACAAATGTTCAGTATTTCAAGATCAAAACCTCCAACTCCAACAGGTTCTCTCTCTCTCTTTTTTTATCATCACTATACAACTTTTCTGTCACAATATAAAATGTCTTCACTGGAAAAAACAAACAAAAGCAAAAGTCTTGCCATATACAGTGACTAAGGGCAGAAATCTCCTACTCCCCATTCCTCCCTGTTATAAGACTTCCCTTGTTATGACCTAGTTTGAGATATCTGATATATGACCCTCATAGGATCTGAAGGTAGACAAAATTCTCTCTGTGGTGATGGAAATGTACTTGACATGACAGACCCTCCCATCCCTAAAGACGTTCACACCTTCGAGGAGTTTAGGCACAAAATGGGCAGCTGCTTTCGTCTTCTTGACTCTATTTCCCTTCATGACATGGCCCTCCTTGTCCAAACCCAAATACCAGGCCCGGCCTGAACGACGCTGGCGGTAGAGGGCAGAGGCGTAAAGGACATAATAATTCTCAAAGACGCACTCCTTAAAGCGACACTCTGCTGTAAAGTGTGGCTTGATGATGAGGTCACAGAAAGAGAAAACAAAGGCAGGGAGGAAGAAAAAGAAATTGATATTAATAGCCAGGAGGCTGATGTTTCTCAGTCTTGGGCCCCACCCTTTCTTACCAAATGATACAAAAAATCTACTGTGTGGGACCAAAATCCTCTGAGTGGTATGGGGAGGAAATAAAGATGAGCTCTGGGAGCCCAGGTGCCTGTGGGTTTGGGGCTGGATTTCTTTGTATTCCTGTAATCTGATTCTCTAACCTCCCTCCCATCTCCCACCCTCTAACCAATCCCTTCCTTTTCTTCCAGTATAGCAGTTCTCAAAGTGTGGTCTATAGATCCTTGAGAGTACCCCAATGGGGAAAGGGACCTCAAAGTCCAAACTATTTTTATAATAATATTAATAAATTATTTGCCTATTAAAATACTCCCTGATTTTTCAAATACATATCTGTGTGAGATCATACTGTTTTTATATACTTTAACCAAAAAATACATCACAGTAGATTAAATGCAGAAGTATATGTGAAAGTTTAGCTGGTTTATTAAGCCAGACATTAAATAAATTTGCAAAAATATGCAAAATAGGGGGCAGCTAGGTGGCATAGTGGATAAAGCACTGGTCCTGGAGTCAGGAGGACCTGAGTTCAAATCCAGCCTCAGACACATAACACTTACTAGCTGTGTGACCCTGGGCAAGTCACTTAACCCCACTGCTGAGCAAAAAAAAGAAAAAAGGAAAAAAAACATAAAAATATGCAAAATAATGCCACTTTTCTCACTAAATTTTTTATATTTTAGAAAACATAGTTATTTTCATAAAATATGTTATTTACATTGGTTAACATGTTTTTGTTGTTATTCAGTCATATCTGACTCTTTGTGACCCCATTTGGGGTTTTCTTGGCAAAGATATTGGAGTGGTTTGCCATTTCTTTCTCAAGCTCATTTTACAGATGAGAAAATTGAAGCAAACAGGATGAAATGACTTGCCCAGGGTCACACAGCTAGTAAGTATCTGAGGCCAGATTTTAATTCAGGAAAAGATGAGTCTTCCTGACTCCAGGCCAGTGCTCTATCCACAGAACCATCTAGCTGCCCTGACATGGTAAGCACTTACTGAGTTTAGTACTGTCATTTTAAATGAACTAATACATATTTAAAAAATTTAAGAGTATAAAGTGGAAGCAAAAAGTTTGGCAACTCCTTACTTCCAGTGGATTTGGGCTCTAAACTGGAGGGAGGGGACAGGAAGTAAACAGAGACTCAGATATCTTTGGGCAAATCAACTAACTTCCCTAGTACTCAATCTCTTCCCTCCTCACTCTTCGGTCTGGGAGTGTGAAAATTATTTGGTCAAAGAATGCATTACTGGCAGAGCTATGGAAGAACTCAGGTCTTTCTTTCCACATGCCCTGCTTGGCTCTCATGGTCATCATTAAATCTGGGGATATAGGGGGATACTCAGAAGAGAGAAGCCATAAGGGGTTCTAGGCATGTGGTTGTGAGGGTGTCCCTTGCAGAGGCTATAAAGGGATTTGGAAGGAATCTCCCTCAACAGTCTCTTGAGTAGTGAGGGGATATGATGAGGGTACTGAAAGATTACTGAGGAGAGAGCTTGAATTGGGTCCTGGTAGGATATGGGAAAGAAAATGTTAGAAAAAATTTAGGGAATTCAGAGAGGGAAATGATTTTGAGACTGATGACTCTGTTGTAGAGTGTGTGTAACGGGATTGAGAAGAGGGTCAAATGTGGGATCACCAGGGAAAGTGCCAGGGAGTGGGTGGGAGAAAGGAGGGTCCCAGTTAGGTGGTTCACCAGGACAGAGGAAAATGAGGGGAGGAGTCTCACCGAGCTGTAGAGTAGCCCCTCAGCATTCATGGCTACATAATGCCCCAGCTTGGTGCTCTGGATAGTGACCACACGGAGACCCACAGGGATCAAGTTAAACTGAGCTGGAGGGTAGAATGAGAGTTAGAGATGAAAGGGATCCAACCCCTGGCCTTAATCCTTAAGTATATAGAATTCAGATGCCTTGTTCCCATCCCTTCAAAAACAAAAACAAAAACAAAAACAAAACCAACAAAACTCTGAGCCTACCATCAGCTCACCCTACCATCAGTTCCACTCCAGGGACAGCCACTTTGACTCTGGCCTATCCCCACTCCTGGATGTCAATGACAGAGAGAAACAGAGACTGAAGTAGGATGGGAAAGTAACAGGGTGGATAGGAAATAGATAAGCTATTCCTTCAGTTGCCTTAGGCATAAGGGTACAGTGAGAGAAGAGAAGCCCTAAGCATCTGATACCCACTTCTTCTCCTCTCCTAACTCCCCACACCCCAAAAATTCCCTTCTCTTCTCACTGAAGGAGCTGGTATCCTCTTGTGTGCCATTGATGCTCCCATCTGGATTGGCCTGGAGATAGAAACCCTGACGGCAGAAAAGCTTTGTGATGATGCCTTTGAGCTGGGGCTCTAAGGAGAGAGAGACAGGGACAACTTGACATTAATCTTTGATGAAGATTTCTCTTTCCAAGTTTGATCCTAGAAATGGGGGGGAGGTGAGGGAAGTGGGGAAAGTAGTTAGGGAGAACTAAGGTCAACTGCTCTTTAACTGACTCACTGCATGTAACCCTCTAGCTTTGGCCTCTCTGTCTCCTGGGGAAGTCTGTACCCTGTCCCTGCCCCCACCATTAGCTCTCAGTTTAATTTATTGAAATTTATTTAAATAGTTTAGTTCCTGCTCAATAGCTGAGCTGGAGGGGGAAGGGAAGGAGTTATGATAAGGGGAAAAGACAGTGATAAAGGCAGACAGAAACACTATAGTTTTTGTGGTAGGTAATCTCAGGTTGGACGTTGGGGGAAGGGGGCTACTCAAGCTATGGGGGGAGGGAGCTGACGCTGCTGGAATCAAACTTGCTGACTCAGCACCTGATGCTGCCCAGCCTGGCTTGGGCCTCTGCCGTCTGCCTGGTCATCTGTGCACAAGCCTGTCTTCCTGAGGAACCGGGAATCAGGGGGCTCCAGCCTCTTCCTCTTCTCTAGTCCTTATTAGCATTAGGGACCCCGGACTTCCAAGCTGGGGAGGGAGGATTGCAGTGGCGCATACAAAAGATGAGTGTAAGTGAGGGGCTGATTGTAATTGTGTGTATGTGTGTAAGGGCTAGAGGGGTGTGGAACAGAAGGGCAAAGGGACATTTCCAAAGGGTGGGCTCTGGACTGTACCACAGAAAAAGGCAGAGTGGGTGGGGAGAGGAATCATTCAACGAGAACTTGGGGTCGGCGTTATTGAGACTCTCACTCCCTTATCAATTTGGAAAAAGTGGGGAAGGGAGGACAGGGACAGCGTCCCTTTTTTCGACATGGTCGTCTCTTCCTCACCTCTTTCACAGTATAATTCCCCAAGGGGAATTTCGTGTATTACCCCCTGTCCTTCTGCGGGTGGAACAGTCCCAGTCTTTCCTGTCCCCGTCCCCCCTACCACCCTCCCCTCCCCAGCCTCCTCATTCCCCTAGTCCCTCAGAATCTGTTCTGAACGCCTGGGTTCCTGTGGGTAGGGGCAGCCAGTCCAGCGGGTGCCAGGGCTTTGTGTTCTTGGAGGAATCAGGACTTGGGGGTGTGAAAAAAATTGGGGAGGAGAATCCAAAGGACATTCCTTGTTCCGTCCCCTGGGTGTGAAGGAGGGGAAAGAGGGAGGACACAGTAGAGTTCTGGGATCAGGCAGGGAGAACAGAGTGGGGTGCGGGGGAGGAAGCAAGGAGGTAGGGGTGGGGGAGGGGCTGATCTGCAAGGACACCCTAGGAAGAGTTAGGAAGGTTGTCTCAGAGCCAGGTGAGGTTAAACAAGAAAGCCCCAAGCTAGAGACTGCGCTAACAGAAGAGCAGAGGAATGGGGATGGGGTAACCAGCTAAACTGGGAGGAAAAAGAAAAAGACGTCGCAGAATTGAAGAAACTAGGTTGTGTGACCCAGGCGTTCCGAATCCTCGGTAGTCTCAGTTCGGGGCTTGAAGCAGAGCAACAAAAGGACAGGAAGAAACGCACGTAGCCTGGCAATGCTGGGAGGGGGTGGGTGGGGAAACAGGATGCTTGGGTTCCTGAGAGGGGCGGGTGTTAGTTAAACTCCGTTAAAACCCCTGACATTTTCCCTAGCTTTAGAAGAGAAAGAGGCTCAGGGTTATGCGGGAACAGAGAAAGGAAAGTGAGGAGCAGCAGAAAGGGAGAGTATCTGAACTTCTAGTCTCCCCATTGCCCAACTCTCATTAAGGAGTTTTCGTCTATCTTATCCAACCCTCAACTCAGCCCTCTAAAGTATTTTCGTCCAGCCTTCTCTGGCTCTCTTTGCCAGATACTTTCCTTGGGGACCCGGGTATTCTGTTTTCTATCCCTGAGATTTCTCCTTTAGTCTAGCTCCCACTTCAACCTACTCAAGAGCCCAGGACCCCAACTGTTATCACTCACCCGGGGCTCTGTCCGGGCGCGTCCGTCGCCCCCCACACAGACGGACCTTGGAGAGCAGAATCAGTATCTGCTTCTGACACAAGGACTTAGTACCCCTCCGGCACACTCGCCGTTGAGCTGACACTGGTCGGCTCGTCCCAGGGTCTCGTACTTCTCTCTTCTGCCTGATCAGGCTGCTGGCCAGCGCCGCCATCTCCAACCACCTTCCCTCCCTTTAGGGGACAGTCGAATCTCCCTACGACGTCCCCTAACTCCGCCACTCTCAGATTGGAGGTATACAACCCAAATTGTATGGAGGCACCTCAGTAAGACACAACCCTCAATCTCAATCTGGCTCCCAGAATGCCCCCCACCCCCAACTGAAAAATACTCCAAACTGGCAGATAGTTCTAGGATGAAAGCTAAATCCTTCCCTTCCTACAGGAAGGCACCCTCCAATCTCTCTCAAATAGGGTGGTACCCCCAAATTTATCCCAGATACTCTCCTCTGCGTTCCTGGATTATTTACTGTTAAGTAGCATCCCAATAAATCCTCCCCCCTAAGTACTTCAAAAGGGTCCCTTCAACTGTCCTCTCCCCCTGTCACCCCTAAACTTGATGGGAATCCTTGAACTCTTACTTAGTTCAAGCTTTGTTAATCCCTGGCTCTTGCCTCCAGTTCTCTGGGTTTCCCTTCCTCATAGCCCCAAATTTTCTCTCCTTTCCTTCACTGTCCTGGCCCTAAATCGATGTAACTCCAAGGTTCCCCTTTTTTCTGCACCTCTCCATATAATTTCGGCTGACCAGACTTGGTAGACCCTAACTCACTATGGGAGATGACAGAAATGAATCTCACAACTCCTCCCTGTCAGCTCAAGAAATCTAGAAGGGGTGAGAAGGAAACAGGGCTACAACTCCAAATCACCCATTGCAGCAACACTTGGTACAGCAGCTGTGAGGAGGTTAAAGGGAATTGGGGTCTTCTTTGCCACCCTTTAGTCCCCAGATTGGAATGTATCTCCTATCTCTTCCCATCCCTCTCAAAACCTATAGCCCAGAACTTCTGGGAGGTTCCATTTGCCAGGGTCCTGAGATTCTTTACAAATCAACCATAAACTTGGCTTATGCCTCCCCTTTTCAGCAAGTCAACACTCTACCTCCCCAAATCCCTAGAGGCCCTAGTTTCTGGCGACCAGGTATCCTCTAAACTTATCCTTACCTCTACTTCTTCCCTGGTGCTTCCAAATATGCCCTTCTAGCTCCAGCAACTTAGGGGTTATCAAGGTGCAGTGGGTATGGAAGGTCCTTTCTTACATCCTGTCACTCCAAAATAGTGAGTCTTTAACTTCACTCTGGGTATCCCACAAAATGTTATCGGGGAGTCTTAATGCAGTCTTCCAGCTATTTGACCTCCAGCTAGCTACTCCAAAGTGTTGCACCCCACTTTCCCCCTGGTACTCCCCAAATTAGCTTGCCTCCTGTACTTCCTTCACGCGTTTCTATGATCCCCAGGGTCCCCGTCTAACGTTCCTAAGCGATTGCTTGCACCCCACTTTCTTTCCTGAGACCCCCCAAACCTGTCCTGTTGATCCTGCTGCCGGCAGTGATGGATGGCTCAGGCTCTCAAATTCTCCTCCCTCACCGTCCCCCTGTCGGCAGAGGGTTCCCCGCACGGTCCACCTCGGCGCTCTCTATCCCTCCCCGCCCAGGGAAATGGGGGGGGGGGTTCACAGGGCGTCCCCAGTCCCCCGATGGCGGCGCTCCAGGCCTCAGCAGCAGGACTGACTGGAAAGCAAGCCCAGGCAGCAGAAGCAGTAACGGCAGCCGTAGCAGCAGCAGCAAACTCGCGTACTGCTCCCCGACCTCAGCCCAAGAACCCTATCCGAGGGCGGGGCAGGGGGCGGAGACAGCATCAAAAAGAGAACGGTGGAAAGTGACTCCTGCATCTGTTAGAGAACCTGGAAATGGAAGTGGCTGAGGATATAGGGAGGGAACAAACAAGCCAGTGGTGGGAAGTCAGTCATGACTCCCAGGAAGGGGAACAAGGTGCAGAGCTTGAACCTGGGTGACAAATATCTACAAAATGCATGAGAAAGGGGGGAGGGGCTAGCTGAGTGCTGGAGAAGAAATTGAACTGTGGCTGAAGACAGAGGAGGTTTTTAGGTACTGTGTGTGTGTGTGTGTGTGTGTGTGTGTGTGTGTGTGTGTGTGTGTGTGTGTGTAGCAGAGATGGGGAAGGGATCCCTTGCCAGGAGGAGGTTGCTGTTTTCTAATATTTCCAATCTGACCAAATTGGCCAGGCTCCATCTTATCATCCTCGCATACTGTGTCAGCATCTCCCCTTCACCCCTTTACTTGGCTTCCACCAAGGGTCACACACAGGAGGAATTCCAATTGAGAGGGCAAGAATAGACAAGGAAGAGATGAGGAGTCTCTGGGTCAGGGTCTTGATGGGAGAAGTGTGCATTTTGGGGAGAGGGTGGCGGTGGTGAGGACAAGATTAACATTTTCTTTTCAGGGTCAGGACCAAGACAGCCAGCAGCATCAGAAAGTTCGAGGGCTAGGTCTCCCAGAATGAGTTATGTCACTGGTTGGGGAGAGGCGGGAATAAAGGAGATTGGAGAAAAAAAAAGAATTAAAATTCTTCTGTCTCCTTCCAGCTACAAATATTTAATGACCCCCGCCCAACACCCCTCCCCCCTTCCGCGCAGTCTTGGCCTCCTCCACCGCAGTTCTGAGAGCCCCTACAGGGTCCCCCCGGAGTCGGGCGAGAGCGCCGGTCAGCTCTGTGGCCCCCTCCCCGGCCGCCAGCTCCCGCCCTTCCAGGAAGTAGTCAGGCAGACCCCCAGCCTCGAGACCGCGGCTTAACTCGTCCAGCAGCCCGAGGCAACAAGCCCCGGCGTTCTCCGGCCGCCCCAAATAGAGGGCCGGGAGTCGCTCGCAGGCCCAGTAGAGCAGGGTCCGCAGGAGGTAGGGAGCCGCGCAGCCAGCCCCGGCCACCAGGGGGCGTAGTAAGGCCTGGGCGGCGGCGTGTGCCTGGAGCAGAGGTTGGGGGATGCGGGCCTTGAGCGCCAGCTCCTGGCGGGCAAAGCAAATCCGCCAGCACAGCCCATCCTCCTTTTTGGCTCCGTAGCCCGGCACGAGGTAGCAGGCGGTAGGCCCAGCGGCCACGGGACCCATCCAGGCGTGGGTCCGGGTTCTCTCGGGCCAGCCGGCCACGGAGATCCCTGGCACCAAGTCAAAGAGCAGGAGCCGCGGGGGAGGGCCTGGGGTGGACAGAAGGATGGTACTGACTCCGGCATGGCGGGCGGCATGGACCAGGCGCACGGCGCCGGGTTCCGGGGTCAAGGAGACAGCTACAGCGGATAGCGAGGAAAAAAACCAGGCAGCCACTTGCGTGGGGCACAAAACGGGCCAGTTTTCCTGAGGGCCCCGCCCCTCAGGCTCTGGCACTGGCTGTCCAGGGAGTTGCTCTGTGACGTCACTGTGCGGTTCCTTCAATAAGCCTCGCTCTGCCGAATCCCTCAAGTCGCCGTGCTGCTCTTCCACCGGCGCTGGCGACTTGTGGTAGGAGTCTCCTAGCACGCGCTGGGACTCCTCCGCAGTCTCGGGCCCAGTGACGTCACGCGGAGGCTTCTCCAATGGGCACGCCCCTTTTACTGCTGGGGCGGAGGGCCCTAGGCAGTCGCACCAGGCCTCCAAGGCCGAGGCCCCGCCCACTCGCTCTTGGAGGCGGAGCCATGCGCTGCCAGACTCCAGCTCGAGGTCGGGCATTACCTCCTCGCCGTCCAGCCAGAGCAAGGGCACCAGCACCGTGAAGCTGGCGTCGTAGTGGGGCCCCCGGACGTAGGGACCCAGGGGTCCAGGCCCCAGATCTAGAGAGCCCTCGCGGACTCCACCGCGGAGGAGCAGAAGCTCGGTTTGCCCAGGAACCCGGGGGTCCCGTCGGTGGATGAGACCTGAGGATAAGGGGAGGGGATCAGTCGAGACTCTCTATGGGGCAGTTGAGAACTCGCGTGGGGGCACTGGAGAGAGGACAGGAGGGACCAAAGGTGACACACTTACTGAGCAGAGAGAAGACAAAGTCCTTAGCCCGGAGGAGGTCGGCCCCGGGCTTTGGCCCACCGTGCCAGCTCTCTTGGACCCCGAGCTCTTGGATCAGTTGAGTCAGCTCCTGCAGCTGCGCTCCGGAGCAGAAGTCGAGGTCCGTGAGGGGGCGGGCAGGGGCTGGGGGTGGCGGACCCCACCAGGGGGTACCCCTCCAGACTGCGGAAGCCATGTGGGGGCTGAGGCTAAGGACACGGCGGGGAGAAAGGGAAAATGGAGCTCAATTCATTCTTCTAACTCGGTCCAGGACCACCCACTCCTTTCTTCCTCTGCACCCCAGCCTACCCTGTATTCTAGAGGCGCCTACGCTCAGGGCGGTTAAGGAAGTCTTGTTTATTTAAATGGAAAATGCACAAATATTCTCCAGTTTCCACCCCTTCCCTCAAAGTGTGTTCCCAGATCCCCCCCACCCCAAATATGCAAGCTCCCTACCAATTAGTACCAGTTAGACCTGACAGGTGGTTAAAAAAAAAAGAAAAGAGCTGTCTCTCCTACCCCCACCCCAAGTTCAGCCCCGGACTCAACAACAGGCCAGTCCTATCCCTACTGTCTAATTCTGGGAGCCAGAAACATCCCTTTATCAGCGCCTAGTGTTCCCTTCCCTTACCTGCTATTTGGGGGTGGGGTGGGGGGGATGATGGCAAAGGACCTCAGGCGACCGCAGGGAGGGAAAAGAAAACGGGAGAAAGCTTCCGAGAAAATCCTGCGGGTAACTTCCTTCTCTCCACCAGGGCACACCCCTTTTACCTGAGGCTACACCCCTCTCTGCCTAGACTCTAAACTCGGAAAGTTCTGGCCCCACCCCATGCCTTGGTTCCTTTTCCCTAGCTCCAGGTTCCAGAGAGGTTTCTGAATCGGGCGGGAAATTGAAGTCTTCACCGTCCCTCCCTCCCATTCTTCCAGCCCTTTCCAGTAAATACGGTGATCAGGATTCACTTGGTAGGGAGGAAGGGGTGCATGCTAGAAAATATAGTTTAGTTTCTGCGTACCCAAGCCGTGTCTGGGAGTTGTCTTTTCGGGCTACCTGGTACTCTACTGCGCCCTACTGTCTAGTCAGGGTAGGGGTGGAGCATGCTAGACTGATAAACTGAATTTTATAGAGTTTTGAGGGACCACAGCAGCCATCAAGACCAACTCTAACCTCCAAAGGAATTCTCACTACAAAACTACTGGACAAGTGGTAATCTTAAAGATTCTGCTTATGAGGAAGTAGTCCAGGTAGTCCATTTCACTTTTAGACTGCTCTAATTAATTAGGAGGGGCAGCTAGGTGTTGCAGTGGATAGAATGCCAGACCGGTGTCAGGAAGACTGCAGTTCAAATTCGACCTCAGACACTTGTGCAACCGTGGGCAAGTTACTTAAACCTGTTTGCCTCAGTTACCTCATCTGTAAAATGAGCTGGAGAAGGAAATGGCAAACCACTCCAGTATCTCTGCCAAAACAAAACAGGCCTAAAAGGGGTCACAAGGGGCAGGTAGGTGGTGCAATGGCTAAAGCTCCGGCTTTAGAGCCAGGAGGACCTGAGTTCAAATTCAACCTCAAACACATGCCACTTACTAGCTGTGTGACCCTGGGCGAGTCACTTAACCTCACCAAAAAGCAAAAACAAACAACAAGGGGTCACAAAGATCTGAAATGATTTAACAATTAGGAAAGTTTTTTTTTTCTGACTTCAAGCCTAAAAAGTACCTTTGAAACTTCCATCCACTGATCTTGATTCTGCCTCCCAGGGCCAAACAAAACAAGTCTCATCTGTCTTCGACATGATAACCTTCAAATACTTGAAGACAGCTGTCAAGTCCTTGCTAAGTTAAAACAGCCCCAATTCCTTTGGCTGATCATGAGCTCAAAGTATCCTTTGCCATCTTGGTTGCCCTCCTCTGGACCATTATAATAATAAGCTTATTACAATAATATCATTCACATAGTGTTTTAAGTTTTGCAAAGTGCTTTACACTTTTACATTTTATTCTCACAACAATCCTGGGAGGTAGGTTATTTTAACAATTTGAGAGGTAGCTATTTGTATCCTCATTATGCAGGTGAGAAAACTGAGGAAGACAGAGGTTAGGTGATTTGGCCTGGGTCACACAGCTAGTTAAGTGTCTTCAGCGATATTTCAAATCACGTTTGTCCACAAATCTTGTGTTCTATCCACTGTGCCACCTAGTTGCACCTAATTCCCTCTAGCTCATCAATGTCTTTCCTGAACTAGAGCAACCTGAACTGAACACAATAGGCCATTTGAATGCCTGACTAGGGCAGAATACAGAGGGACTATCCTTTCTTCATTCCTGGAAGCTATGTCTTTATGAACCCCAAGACTACAGGATTGTTTTGGGCTAATTTATCACACTCATATCTTACAATTCACTGGAGTCCCCACATCCCGTAGTGAGGGATCTTAGAGGTCACTAAATCTTATATCCACCAAACTTTTTTCTGATAAACTGCTTGTACTTATGAAGTTGGTTGATTGAATTTAAATGTAAGACTTTATATTTATCACTATTAGACTGAACCCACGGCTCAAGCCTATCAAGAACCTTGACTATCATTCAGCGTGTAACCCTCTCAGATCTATGTCATCGACAAATTTGGTTAACATGCCATGTATTAAAGGCACTGATGAAAATGTAAAACAGAACATGGCCAAGCATGGTTCCCTGGAGTACTCCACTGAGAACTTACTACTAAAATGATATAGAAACTATTAATGACAGAATCTGGTCCTTGAACCAGCACT